CTCCAGCTCTCACAGCCATTGCAGTACATTGAGCTCCATAGAGACAGCGCCCAGGCGAGTGCGAGCCGGGCACTGGCCAACTCTGTGCTCGCTGAGAAAAGGTAATTAAACATGGGCAAAGGAGGCCCTAAAAAGCCAGGAGGCAAAATGTCATCATACGCTTTCTTTGTGCAAACTCGCCAGAAGGAGCACAAGAAGCAGCCCCCAGATGCTCCAGTCAACTTCTGACAGTTTTCTAAGAAGTGCTCAGAGACAGAGGAAAATGTGAAGACAACACAGCAAAGGAGGACAAGGCCTGTTACGAAAGAAATGAAAATGTATATTCCCTAAAGGGGAAACAAAAAAGAAGTTCATGGATCCCAATGTAATCCAGAAGCCTCCTTCGGCCGTTTTCTTGTTTTGTTCCGAGTATCACCCAAAAATCAAAGGAGAGCATCGCGGCCTGTCCACTGGTGATGCTGCAAAGAAGCTGGGAGAGATGTGGAATCCCACTGCTGCAGGTAAGAAGCAGCCAGTGGAAAGAAGGCGGCTAAGCTGAAGGAAAAATTCGGAAAGGAGCCTGCTGCATATCGAGTTAAAAGAGAGCCTGATGCAGCAAAAAAAAAGGAGTCATCAAGGCTGAAAAAAGCAAGAAAAAGGACAAGGAGGAGGAGGAGGAAGATGAAGATGAAGAAGATGATGACCATGACTAAGTTGGGTCTGGTGCAGTTTTTTTTTTTCTTGTCTATAAAGCATTTAACCCCCCTGTACTCATTCACTCCTTTTAAAGAAAAACACTGACATGTAAGGCTGTGTAAGATTTGTTTGCAAACTGTACAGTATCTTTTCTTGTACAGTTAACACACTACCAAATGTGTCTTTAGATAGCTCTGTCCTGGTGGTATTTTCAATAGCCACTAACCTTGCCTGGTACAGTATGGGGGTTGTAAATTGGCATGGAAATTTAAACCAGGTTCTGTACTGGTGCCCAGAACAAATTAGTTATATATGGGGATGGTCGTTTTTTCATCTTCAATTGTCTCTGATGCACTTATACGAAATAACTGTTGTTCTGTTAACTGAATACCACTCTGTAGTTAAAAAAAATTATAGCTGTCTTGTTGACATTCTGAATGCTACTGACTAAGCACAATTTTAAATAAAAAATATCAGCTTGCTCCTTCAAAATATATCCATAGGCCAAAAATGAGACAAAACACTTCAAACTGAAAAGTCAACATTTACAAGTCATTGAAGAAAATTTTATAGGATAATGAGAATGTTCAAAACATTGAAAGATCCATATTAAAAAACTTTTATAACTTATAAAACACAACATGTAGCTTAGAAATCAATACCAGAAACAAACAGATTATTAGGGCTTTTAACTTATAATATTAGGATATTACCAGATTTTTTTAAGTAAACAATAACACTAAATATCTTAGTGCACATTTTATACGTAAAAGACACCGATTCCAAAAATGATCACTTAATCACTATTGTACTGAACAAATATCCAGAAAATCAAATGTCTTCTCTTTTGTCATTTATGCTTAATAAATAACAGTAAAGCTTAAAACCTAACTATGGCACATGAATCACACATTTTGGTTTCTGAGTAAAGAGTACTAAATGCTTTATATACAAAAACCAAATTTGTCTTCTTTTTTTTCCATAGAAGACTTAGAACATAGTTTTTAATTTGTGTTATTTTAAAGTTCAGTGTTAAGAGGCAAATGCTTACTTAAAATGCTGTTCAAGGTTTTTGAACCATACCTTTTCGTTGTGTGTGCTTAAACAAAACTCTGTATGAATGTTATTCTAGAGCAGATACTTAGTTGAGAAAAGAAAGAAAACAGATCTGTAAGGACATGCATTGGAATGTGCATGTTTGGCTGGAAAGCTCACAATCAGGTACAAACTGCAGCACAATAATGGCTGGGAAGTTAATTAAGTCAACCTAACAGCACCAATAACAAATATGTTTGTTTGCTGTACTTTAATCATGAAATTTTGGACAGGAGAGAAAATTCATGTAATACATTTGCTTGGTTCTTGGTGCATTTTTAATTGTTCATTTATAAATTCCTGAATCTCAGAGCTTTGTAAAGGAAGCATAAGAACCTCCTGGAAACTAGCAACCAGTACGACCTACTATAGGATCCAAAATATTTTAATTTCCTTTCTGTGAATAATCTTATTACAGGAATCCAAGCACTTCTGAAATGTTTGGAGGAAAAAAGAGAAAGAAAGGGAGGCAACAGAGACAAAACAGATGGATGGACCAATGACCATGGCAATGGCAGCCACCAGCCAGCACACACACAGAGTGTCAACCTTTGAAAGTCCCCACCCATGAGCTCTAAAACCCAATGGGGCACAGGACCAAAGCCCACATACTAGCTGTGTGATCACTTCTGAGTGCAGAGGAAAGCGTGCAACTAGACAGAAGCTTGCAGAACAAAGAAAAGGCCGGGCCATCCCATCCCATGAGCATGACGCTTGAGCAGTAAAGAGACCGAACTAGTTAGATGAAACCTGCACAGGACTTTGTTTAAAAGGTCATTACAGTTACTAGCATTGCTTACCTAAAGATCATTACAATTACTAGCATTTCACAATCACCGAGAAAGAGGTTTATATTCCTTTATTTTACTTTTCCCATCACTAAATTTTTTTTGCTGGTTTTCTTTTAACCTTCCAGTAGGGTTTCAATTCATGCTTAAAAACAAAGCTATTTTTCTCTTATTTAGATTGGGTCTTTATGTCATCCCAATATAAAAAGCAGTAAATCCTTTAGAAGAAACAGGAACACTGGAAAAATGGCGAGAATTACCAGGATTTCTAGGACAGCTGTCATTGATGTAAGCGCCCTGCAAACATGACTAATGAGCGTTTGCCCCCAACAGGGATAGGTTTTACACCCCTTTAGAAGGCCATGTGTGCTTCAAGGGCACAGGCTGATCAACGGGGAAGCCAGTGGCATGTGATTCAGAAGTCAGTTCTGTGGTTATTTCAGACTATCGGACTCACTTTGTAAAACATAACTGCTCCTTCTTTGGCGAATGCTCTTGAGTGGCTTCCTGGCTGCCCCAGGACTGCTGGGTTAATTCTGTTCCTAGTCACCCTAAAGGGGTTCATAATGGCAACCCCTGGTCAGCGTGGCTGAAGACCACGGCAGGAGCACCAAACACGTTCTGAGCATGTGTGTGGGTGCGGGAGTGGCAGAAGCCGCAGCACCTTCACGAGAGCAGACCGCTGCTGTTCCTCTGCTGATTCACAGGAAGGACAGTGGTTTGTAGGAGCTGCCCATACCACCACGTCCCCTCCCTACTCACACTCCTCCCTTCTCACCTGTTCTCTCACACACATCCACACACCCTCATGCACATTCACACTCAATGCACTTTCACACTCACTCACATCAGCTATAAAGATAACCAAAAGTCCATGTTTCCCATAAAGCAGAATACGCAGACAGTGCTTATTCCTATAAAAGTACTATTAAATTTACCAAATAAGCAACACTGCATGGACTGATTCTACTTCTGAAATAATAGATTTGTCTAACTTTTAAAAATTCTAGGGGGAAAAAAAACAAGTCACGTGATTTTTTATAACTACATTGGAAGAATAATGCCAATACCGGGCTCAATTAAAATAAGCTCCAGTTCTAACTTGAAACACCAAAAATAAAGGGAGAAGTACAGATATATTTTCATGTATTTGTAAAGCAAATTCATTATCTTAATGAAGACATCAATATATCTCCCTAAGGATCCATTCTAAACAGGACTCACTAGCCAGCAGGTTTAACACCGGCCAGCCAGCCCCTCCCCTCACCCAGTCAAGCCAGCAGTGCACACTGGTGACGTGTGCGAAGGACACCTGAGTAGCACTTACTCACCACGGATGAGGATGGGCACAGAGAGCAGGGGCAAGCTCCTTGGTGTGCCAGCTCAGGCCGTGCCACAGTCAGGACAGGAAGGTGCGGTGTTTTTACTAGATTTCCGCCCCTGGAGTCTACGATTCTGACTCCCCAATTGTATGTCAAAAATGTTGTAAATCAACCTAGTAAAATCTTTCTAGGAATAAATAAAACATGCCCACTGAGAGGGAGGTAGCAGGTCAGCTCATGCCAATCAGTGTGCCCAGATACGCAGTGTCCAGGAAAGGGAGAGCAGGCCAACCAGGGCATGTGGAAGAGCAGCAGCGTGCAATTCGGGGAGGCCAGGGTAGCTATTAACTCTACGAACTGCAAAGGTAGTAACAGCCTCCAAGGTGGAAAAGCAGGGAAAGAAAGCGAAGGTTACTATTGACCTGTACAGTCTGTTATTTCCAGGAGGGCCTCTGGAATTCATTCTCAATGCTCCACGCTTGACTTGAAATGCCTCTGAACACTTTGCTTAAAATATTAATATAGCATGTAGAAACAGTGAACTAACTCTATGCTATCTCTGAACACAAATTAGGTAAATTAAATTTTTATAAGCCAACAGCAAAACCTGTATCTCAGATATTAATGTTACCTTGAGGCTCAACCATTAACTTCTAAACTCCTTTAAAGCGGACTACTTAAGAGTTGGGGGTAAAGGAATCCTGTCACTAATTTTGACGAGGCAACTTTTGTGTCTTCTGTAATAACTAATAACTTTTTTTGACTAGTGTAGGCTTTTCCATGTGAAATGAAAAGGATTCGGAACTCCTGCCAGACCAATCAAGATGATTTCCAAAATGCCCAAACAGGAACTTTCTATGATAAACAACCCATCACATATACATCTCAAATTAGAAAATTAGAAAGAAAACGTATTGTTTTGGTGCCAAAATAGAGATTACAAAAGGCTGCCCATCCTGTACTCCCCCCTCCCCCACACACACACTTCAATCCCATCTGCTTTCTTTAGCCCCTTCTAGAACAAACACTGGTCCAGGTGCAGATACTCAATTCACAAGGAATGCAGAGAACATAAAAATGACGGTAGGGTTGGCTGCTGGTAATCCCCGAGGCTGCTTACCATTGGAAGTAGTGCTGGAGGCCACCGCTTTCTCACTGACATCTGTTCGAGTGGAGCATTTTACTACAGAATTCTCAACTTTTTTCTTCTCAGTGGTCAGGGAGCTGTGGGACTGGGCCTCCATGATGCCTTCTCATTACTTCAGCTCTCTGGTACCAGGAACACCTGAAGGACACAACAGCGTCATCAACTTCAAATAAGAGGGGGAAAACAACTCCCTCCAAAGCCCACTGTGCCTGGCCCCTGAGAGGTGCCTACCGCTTTAGCAAGTTCAAAATGTGGATGAGCCTTCCCTACATGTTTTCTTGCAAAAAAAAAATGCATCAAAGTTTTATTAACAAGCCAGTCATATTGTCTGCACGTGCAATAGGAGAACAGAGGGCAATGTCCATAATGTGGGCCTTTCCCCAAATTCCTACTGGGCATGTGTTATTAAATGATCTAAATATCTCAATTTACAGCTGTGTTTATAGTGCGAAACCCAAGGGTCACATTACTCTTTTAAGCCACATCTACAAATGTCTCTTCAGGTGGCCAACTTTATAGGAAGGGGCATTAGGACAACTTTCCAAGCAGGGGAAGGCTTTTAATTAATTAGATGTGTTTAAAGAGAGTGCAGCAATTTCTCAAACCCAGGCCCTACTCAAAGTTCTGAATCAGAGGATAATTCAGGTCAAGAAGTTAGTGATTTTTGCTTCCTCTCACTGAGATATCTGAATTGCAATATGCTTCTTGATCCTAATTTGCTAGGTAAACCAAATTCTTTAAGCTTTCTTAAAACATGAGACCATTTCAAATCATTTTAGTTATATTTTTTTAAACAAAGGTAATAGAACAACACGCTCTCGATCCCACAGCAAGTCAAAAGACTGCCAACAGAAAAGACTGGAACCACTTAAGAAATATTAAAACTCAGCTAAAGGCTAGTTCAGTTAGTCGGCCTTTCACTGGCTTCATTCATGTGATAAATCGCCCTAACTCATCATTCATCAACTTTCACTCAATTTGGTGTCATGTTCTTTTTTTTTTTTTTTTTTTTTTTGCAGCCATGAAATACAAGAATACAAGACAAGATGACAAGTACCCTCTCTAGAATGTTTTCTTCCCGCTATCTAGATTGTAACTAACACTCATGGTGGGCATTTCTTCAGTTGAGTCATTTGCTTCTTTTCTACATTTAGCAAAAATGTTCCATCAAAATGATTACTGAAATAAAATAAGCAACTGCCTAACCAATGAAAAGAGTTAAAATAGCAGATGATGTATTTTAAGTCATCCTTAACTCAGATTTGCAAGGGAACTGCAAATTCTTGATTGTACAAGAAATCTGGAATTCAAGTAACTAGAAAACTTTAAGACCCAGGGGCCGCATACCAGCTTTTCCACTAACTTCCATTTCTTTTCCTTGATTACTCAGTGTCATTCATTGTAAAACACACAAGTTATTTAAGAATAGCTTTTCTGGAATAAATAAGAAAAAAAAAAGAAGCACAAAGTTAAATGTACATATCAATTGTAAGATCCACTGCAAATTCAGAAACAGCCCTGAGAGAGCCCTGACAAAATACACCAGCGTGAAGGAGCTCAGAATGTCCTTTCACGGGGCTGCCACCCTGCACAAGTCCGGGGTGAGGCCTCGTTACCTGAACGGAGTTGTTCAGTGCCTGGTTTCTCATCTGTCACATGACAGAACCACACAGTGGGACTTAGCCTTGGGGGGAGGAGGTGCAGTCCTCTTTAAGAATATGTTAAAAGTTATGGATCCTCTCCATAGAAGAATATCCTTAAACACTAAAGTGTTCACTTAATTTCAGAGGGAACACGGACCCCCCCCAAGCTTTTCCATGAATCCAGATAAAGACCCTGGAGGGAGAAATGTTTGATGGCCCCTTCTAGCTCTAACGAATTCCTTAATTTCGTAACACTCCCCCAAAATTGATTTAAATATCATCTTTAAAGTATTCCACAAGAACAATTCAACCCCAACCACAGCACTGTTTCTCAGAGTGGTACAAGAGCCACTTGAATCTGCCCTCTGTAATGCTTGTGAAGCATTCAGATTGCCAGGTCCAATCCCTTAATATCTGGGAGGGTGGCACCAAGGAACCTGCATTTTAACCAGCGCTAGTGATGATCAGGTGCACTAAAGCTTGTAGGCAACTGCTCTACAGACTTTTGTTCACTGCTTACGTGCTCGGTGCAATAGGTCCCAAATGAAGTCTTAGCTGACTGCACAAGCTATGCAGTCATAAGCTATCAATGAACTGCACTCCAACTGAATTCCAACAGCCTACTTGAGTCTAGCCCAATGAACTCTTCATCTGGAACTTTTGCTGAAAGTCCATCCCGCCTCCAGACAGTAAGCTCCAGGAGGACAGGCCGTGGCTATCTTCCCAGCACCTCAGACCCAGAAGAATGTGTACCGAGTAAATACAGGATCTAGTGAGGACCCCATGGCGCAGATGGTGACTAAGTCCTGATCTGATGTCTTAAATCTTACATGCCATTGGTTTAACTATATGTCTTTACTCCAGTGTTTCTTTGAAAACTGGCAATTACATAAAAGCTAAAAATTTTAACAGGTATCTTTAATTAGTCTCTCATCGATATTTCTGGCTCTCTATCTCTCTCCCTTTGGCGCAGATGGTGACTAAGTCCTGATCTGATGTCTTAAATCTTACATGCCATTGGTTTAACTATATGTCTTTACTCCAGTGTTTCTTTGAAAACTGGCAATTACATAAAAGCTAAAAATTTTAACAGGTATCTTTAATTAGTCAAAACACTCCATTCTTAATCATTTTGGATAAACAGGCATTTACTATAATTTCCCCCCCTCAAAACACAGTTTTATTAGTTGAATATGAATGGAGTTTACTAAATTCAAGCTGCAAACAGAAACAAGCCAATGGACCAGAAAAACCCATGAAGAGATGGGATTCCTGGTAAGAAATCAGCCTCTTCCTTAGTAGACAGAGCTAATTAACAGCAGTGAGGAGACAAGTCACTGAAGTTCCTTGACAAACTTGGTTTTGGGAGTTGTTGGTTTTTACCCCAAGCAAAGGACTTCAATTTAACAAAGTAATAAACCCTCCAAATACTCATCACTGCACAGAGGGACTCCTGTGAGAAGAGGTAAAGCCCCAGGCACTGACTAAAAAATCACACTAATTAATGGTCCCAGAGAATACTAATTCCTACCCTCCACCCCTCGTTTGAAATAGGTTTTTTTTAAAAAAAAAAAATAGGCCCTTTAGTCACTCAAGAGTCGACCTTCTTCTTCTATTTTGACGACTTATTTTTGGATCTCATTAGTAAGTAACTAATTATTTAAAAGTGTGGCTTGTGTTTGAAACAAGGGCTATAAAAATGGCAACTTGCCAAGGCAGACATCTGCTTCCTGTATATCCCTATAAATTATATCAGTTTATTTTACTGATAAAATCACAACTTTGTCCCTGTCAGTTACAAAGGAGAAAGTTTTAACATTCTAGACTCTGACACCTCATCAACACTCTGCACCAAGCGTTAGTGAGCAGAAGAGAGAATCCGCTTCAAGCTGTAGTGGTGGTTCTTTTCATAGACTTATTAGCCAAGTTGAGAAACTAAGCCCTGAGCTGATACCCAAAAGCCTGCGGTATAGACGTGGCCTGTAAAAATTCCTGATGGAATCCTAAAGCATACATAATTGGGGAAAGAGCCCAAAGTACTACTTTTAAAACCTGGAATTTCCTAAACAATAAAGCACAATTTATTTAGAACAGAATGATCAAGGAAAACATTTCGGTTCTGCTTCACTTCAAAGATTTTTCTCTGAGGAAAGTGCAACAGTCTTTTAGATGTGAACGAAATGAGGCCTTTTCCCAAGCATGGTTCCTTTTCTTACAACTCCACACCGTTCTCCTTCCATCACTTTCACCACTGAAACCTTCCGTGCAAGGTTTGCTGGGCTGGCCTGCCCCTTGATATTTTATGCTGATGAAGAAAAATAAAGAAGACTGTAGCGAATGGTTGAAACCCAGCAGTTCCAGTATTAAAACAAACACACACACACACACACACACACACACACACAGCCTGCAACCAAGGAAAACTGTGCTAACACTGCATGCCTGCTGAAGCCTGGGGTCTCAGAGGTAAACGGAGGGGTACAGATCCCTTCCTGAAAGCAGTCATGGCCTTCCCCCACTCGATGGTCCCTGAACCTTTTGTAATTTCCTGCCGGCCTAAACCCTGGGCACAATGAATTCCAGAGCCCTTCTCCTAGTAGCAACCTGCCTGCAGGTGGGTCTTTTCTGTCTAAATTATGAATCTGAACTTGCTTCACCCTCCTGCACAATAAGGCATCTAAAGCCTCTGGTGTTACTGACCAGCAACATTTACCAAATTCGTGAATTCTTGTGGGGACCTTTCACACAAAAAGCCTAAGGAGGCCCTCCCTTTACAGTTGCCACTAGGGCTGCAATGAGAAGAAGAAGAGAAAAAAAATAACCCCACCAGAAACTTTTATGTTTGCATATCAGTCCACTGGAATCACGTCTTTCCTTAGGCTAGGGGGCTGGGTGGTTTTGTCTGCGCGCTGGCTCCCTGCACGTGCGGACCCTCAGGCGGTTCCAGAGCCCGATCTTCACACCCTGGCACTTCC